ACATATATTAGCGCCCGTGAAATGGAAGATGAGGTTACGAACCGTATAGCAAAAGCTCGAGGTGTTTTTGCCAATCTTCGCCGCCTGTGGTACATGCGCGACATTACTCTCGCCTTGAAGGGCAGAGTTTATAATGCAGCCGTTCGTGGTTATATATGGTTGTGAAACCTGGCTGATCAGGTCGACAGACATAAAGAGGCTCGTCACATTCGATCATCGGTGCCTTCGCCGCTTAGCTCATGTCTGGCGGGAGCACAGCGCGAGCGATGAGAGTGTTCGGCGTCGGGTATTTGGTGCAGGTAGAGCGAGTGAACCGCTCAGCACCATTATATCACTCACCAGGCTCCGATGGTTGGGCCACGTATTGCGCATGCCAGAACACCGACTCCCGCGATATGCATTGTTTGCGCGTTGTGGGTGCGGTTGTAAGTGGAGGAGGAGAAGCCAAGCGATAACTTGGTCGATAGGAATGAAAGCCCCTACTCCGAAACTGGTGTCGGTTGGTGCGTCCCGACCGCCTGGCTGGGGTCCTAAGGACGATGAGCACGTTTGGTTGGACACTTACTGATATGGCGAAGAGCCGGCCCCGATGGCGTTTGTGTTGTGAGTTTATTTGTCCACACCCTCCCTTTATGTTCCCCTTTCCAATCCCGATCTCCTACAAAACACATAATATAATATATAGAGTAATATTTTTTGTGGTGTAATTTTTTAGTCTCTTATCTTTTTATATTGCGGCACGTTGGCTGAGGTGTGTTTCTCACCCACGGCTAACGTGTACTGATGATGATGATGACGTCTGTGTCGGCGTGATCATTTAGGTATAACCAGGTGCATCAAACATATCACAGACTGCTCAGGAAAATTCAAAGTCTAGACAATTATTTTCAGTTGCGAGGACAGGTAGTTCACAGGCTGTTTTCCTCTGGTAGTACATATGGCATTATGTTACATTATTTGGTGTATTGGGCATTGGTTACAGGCTCACCGGGAAAATTTAAATCCTTGGTATGAAGAAGCAAGTTTTGAAGCGGTCGCGCGAATATGTTGTTTCGTCAGCGTATTTAATGATAAACACACACATGTGCTTCCATTTCTCACTTCAGCGAGACTGTTCTCTTAGAGCACCAAATCATGGTGTACAGCTATTGTTCTTATTTCTTGACGTAACATGTGAAATGAGACAGTAAATTCGTAAAGGGAGTTTATGTCTGCCTAATGTTTTCATTCCGTTCCATTGGAGGTAGTTCTCGGCGTCTTTGTCTACATTACCGGGCCACGTCTAACGTCTTGATCTTGTTTTCCGAAGCGAGGCCATCCGTTGAACGATCTTTGATTAAGAGCAGTAACTTCACTTTTGGTATTCGCGTTGCATGGCACTACATTGTTACAGCGATTATCCATTTTTTTAATCGTAGCTCAGGCAAAAGAAGGGATAAGGTTTCCTTCTTTCAGTTTGTTGATACATAACTACACTATACAGTAGTGTGGATGATGTTGAGAACGGAAAAATAAATGGGATATGTGTGCGCTAATTATTATAAATGGGTCTGTTTTTTTAACACCTTGTGTTGGGTGCTTAGAACATGGCTTTTCAAATATTAGATATTGCCTATGGTATTCGCACTAGATTGAAGCAACGGAGAGATGGCTTAAGAAGAGAAAATGTAAAGACGGAATTAGAAGAGGAAGATTCGGTCTACTATTTCTTTCAGCACACACTTGAAGGTACGAGCTTGTAAGATGATCGGGTAGAATGTGAATGGACATTTAAAATGAGGACTAAAAGACGGATTGGTTTGGCTCTCTCACTTATAGTACATTCCTTGGAGCTAGCATGACCGAGTAGCGGGTAAACGGAATGTGAAGATGGAATATGGAGAAATGTGCTCGGTAAGCTTCATCTCCCTTCAGTTTACACTTGTCGATGAAAATATTGTGGTTTACGTTACATACGTTATGTTGTATGCGACTAATCAAGCTTGAGATGCAAAATACACGGCTAAATTTCGCCACTGAGTCCTGCTGGCCTGGGATTAATAAATAATAGTTTTGAACATACGGAATCGGCTTCATCCAAGTTATCATGGAGGTATCGGTGCAGTCGAGAAAAGAAGTCAACGTGTAACAGTTCTATACCCCGATTCTATTCTTACTCATTGTTCCGTGATCTCCTGATCCATTCAGCTCCCTCTTTCCACCGATTTATTTTTAACCGCCTCTCTCCTTTCTTTATAACCGACTCGAGCCATAACACTGTGACAGCGGTACATTCTAGTTTTTCGCACTCCGAATTCAATATGGACAGATTGCAGTACCCATTCCTAATGCCCCGGCTTCCTTGCCCCGTAATGTCTAAGTCATTGCAGATCGCTGTCTTTAAGTTTACACTTGTTATTCAAGCTCCCAGCAGTGCGTCCATAATCACCTGGCTAAGCTTGGCCCGCTAGATTGGGAGTTGTAGGAGTGATGGTGTCTATCGCGCACTCTGTTTGTTCTAATTTTTATTTCCGACCCGGAAATGTCTGCTTTATCACTATCAGCACTTGTCATTTGTAGTCTCGGTACTCGGACAGACTGGGATTGATTTCATAGTACATCGTCTAATTTTGGATAACGCGGGTGATTCAATTTTCCAGCGGATGTTGTGTTGACGAAATTCCTATTTTCTAGGTTTAGTTTGCCTTTTAGCTGTAATTGGCTTTCGGTGTGTTAAGAAAAATAGAAAACTTTTTCTGCAGTGATTAGAATGCATCACAGTTCTTTCATCTCTCTGATTGAAAATATTGGCAGTATCTTCGTCTCAGGTAAAGCAGGACGAGATGGGCCGCGAACCGAAAAGGTCAACTTTATCAGTGCATTCTTAATCTCGTCTGTATAAACTCAGTACCGTCCAGCTCACATAATCGTATGACTGCGCGGCTTGTGCCTTACTCCTCATATGGCTTATCTCACGCCTCGCTGCGGTGATTTGACATTCACCTGCTGCATTTGACTCCTTGCATTTGACCGAATGGTTGACTCACTTCACCTTCATAAAATACAGGCTTCTTTTTCAGGACAATGAAAAGGATGCGTTCCAGTTAATCTTTTAGTGCCGTCGTGGATGCCTGAAGGTGTTTTAGGTAAGTATTAATAGTCTCAACTGGGGTTATGCAAGCACTGCTGAATAGACTGAAGCGTAGCGCTGCACGGCTCGGTTTGTGCTTTGCACCTTCAATGCGCGAAGTATTGTTGCAGGACTGAACAGATAAGCCACCGGCTGTAACTATCAGGGAATAGCCAATGAAATGGTGCAACGGTTCGCTTACCTTGGTAGCTGTGTCCCCTCTGGTGGTCACATCTTTGAGAAGGTTACCTTGTGCATCAGAAAGCTCCTGTGGCATTTCATAGACTCAACGATCTATGGAGACTGTGGGGTATCACAATTTGTCAGTGAAAGGTAGGGTGTATAACGCTTTGATAAGGCTGTCCTTATTGTATGGACCAGAAACCTGACCAGTTCGCGCCGAAGGCATTAAACGCGTGGCCGTGTTTAACCACCGGTGCTTGCGGAGTATTGCTCACGTCTAACGGGAACACCGGGTGAGCAATACTGAGGTCCACCAGTTGGTTTTTGGCTAGAAGCCCACTCGAGTTTTTACTGAATCTTAATCGATTCCGTTGGTTAGGCCATATCCTCCGTATGCACCTTGACCGGCTTCCTTGACTTTCCTTACACGCTGTGGCTGCATCAAGTGGTCAGCCGATGGCGTGACATATGGGTATGAAGAAATTGACCAAATGACTTGGTCAGGTTGGTACGTGCCGTCTTCGTGGGTAGGGACCTCGGGATGGTCTACACCGGTGGTTGGAGACTGTATCAGACATGGCGCAATCACGTAGTCAGTGGCGTTCCTGCATTCGGTTTCTTCCATCTGGTTGTAACTTTTAGTTCCATTCTGATTAGTTTAACGCACTTCCTTCTTACTTCCATTTTGTTTACATTTGTTTAGCCTCCTTTTCTTACCGTTGTTATTTATTTTTAATCTGGTGACGTGAGTTATGGCAACTGGACCCCCTGCATTCTAGTTCTCGTTTTATACTTGTTTACTTGCACTAAGCTGCACTGCCCTTTGGTGCTGAGGCGACGTTTGGGATTTGAATGCTAAATTCTGGTGAACAGGCTGATTCTTGAATGGCGGGGTCGAAGCACTGGAATTGAGGAACACCTCATTGCCTTGCGCAAATGATACAGAGCTTGTGCAGACTCATCAACCTCTCGCAAATCATGCTTGCGAATTAGGTTTTAATGCTGTCATGTTAACAGATGAAGAGCCGAAACATTCCTTAGGCGGGTAAGTTGATTGAGGCCTGTTTTCCCGTCCATCATTCTAATTTCTTCGACGTTACCTTATCTAAATGAGTTTTCATTGCCTTTTTTGTGGCTTGCTTTAAACAGTCTGTAGTGGATTACTACCGGCTGCTTAAAATCCAAACAAACACCTCTATTTTTATATGCGAAAATTGAACAATATAATCTATCTATGTTTGTGACGAACAATCGAAAAATACTCGTGAGTGTTTACCATTCGCTGTTTTCACAGTCAACCAAGATTCTGCTGGCCTGCGCTCTTCTCTTCAGTCTCTTTGGGCCATAGATATCCACGCAGACCATGACATACCTGAATGCTTTATCGGTTTAACTGCTCCATGTGGCTACGCGATCCATCAAAGTGTTAGCTACGTAATGCAGTATACCTCTTACCCATCACCGCGTGTTCCCCGCTACCTTCTAGTCACCTTTGCATCTGGTTCATCGTAAGGGGTCATGCAGCTAGCCAGTGTAACGTTAAGTCACTGCTGAGCTCACTTATTCGGACACGACCCATCAGCCATGAATGCTTTCCAATGAAATTGTGCCCATCTTTATCTTCTTTTTCGGGTTCATGTATGCGTTTCTCTCTTTCCATTTACTTCATGGTCGCACCTTACACCTCCCTCTTTGTATTACTCTCCAGCCTCACGTGCGCGTTTGGAGCTCCGTTGATCTTCGCACACTCCGAATTATTGGCGTGGGCGATTTTGAACGCGGTCTTTGCTGCGTTTCTTTCTCCAAAACGGTGAGTCACATGTGTGGGTGTTTTCCTCGGAACTCGACGATCCCTGAGTCCGATTTGAACAAAACAATGAGAAGACGGACACTGCAAGGTGCACCATTTCGTGTTATCTGATCATTTGCAAACTAAAAACATGTATGGATCACGTGAGGGAAGAAAGCGATCGTTTTGTATTGGTCAGATGAAAATGCACGCAGAAACAAAACAACAGACGGTTGAGCTGAGGCAAATAACGTGAACCCCCAGATGGCTTAAGGGCTACCGTCAGTTGCTTCTGTACCCAAAGAGTAGAATGGCAACGATTAAGGGTCACGGCGTCGGCAAACTTCAGCATCATGTCATTTTCATTTCGGTAGAAAATCGTAAACCTTGAGTCAAGATCAACTTGATAACCTGTACTGATTAGGTGTTTAGCGATGGATGACGCCGGCAGTTTGCCTGCTGCTCGTTGTCCGGTTGCTTGTTGTGCCATCAGCCTAGCAATTCGCTTCGCAATGTACTCTCCAATCCGCTTACTCAGGCAACTATCTGTTCTGTCAATGTATCTGCTTCCGCAGCTGCAGTAGGATTGCTTTTCTACCGAAACAAAAATGCCATGGTGCTGAAGTTTGCCCAGGCCCTGACCCTTAATCGCTGCCATCCTACTCTTTGTGTACAAAAGCAACTGACAGTAGCCCTTAAGCTTCCTTGGAGTTCATGACGTTAGCCCCGGCTAAACCATCTGTTGTTTTGTTTCTACGTGCCTTTTTCGAGCCTTTTTAGTTTTTTCCCTCACGTGATCTATGTATTTTATTATTTTGTAATTGATCAGATAACACGAAATGGTGCCGCCTTGCAGCGCTCGTCTTTTTATTGTTTTGTTCACACTAATACATTGAACTCAATTCTTTGACTCTGATTGGTCTAAGCGACCGTTAACACGCGTTCATTCGGTTTAACCCTGATATATTCAACAGCTTTCTGTTTATTTTGTTTTTGTGTTTTCGCATTGTGCTGTCATCTGTTACCACTGGCGAGCCAGCGGTAACAGTGCACGAGTACATCGAACAGTCATTTTCCCTCCTATCGGCACGCCTGGCCGGACTTGAATTACTAGACAAAAACCTTGACTGCACCGCAACTCATGCACACGATCTCCACAAGTGTCCCTCTCTCACTTAGTGCATTCCGCCGAAAGCGCATTGAGGCGGATGACACGTGGTTTGGCGCAGCAGATGCAAACCCGATCCTCCGGACATCACACAGGGTTGTGTTATGCTCTCACTATCAAATCTATGACCTCACTCAGCGTGCTGTCTTGTTATTTTCTAAGGGCGTATTCTACATTCCCAGATAAGCTTCAGTGCTCGGAACACTTGCTCTTACTAGTCGGCGTTTTTGAACTCCCTTGTGTTACTATGACCTGGCAGCCGGTTCAGTCGCTTTATTCCATGAGACCGAAACGACCGGCGCACCTTATGGTCGTAAGTGTTCCCGTTGCGTCGCTTCTCATTGACACAGAATAGAAACGAACCTTCCTTACCAACATACCAAGTTTTCTTTCCGCGCAAGCCCTCGTTCACCTGATTGAAAGGGCTCAAGTACTTCACCAAATTGTGAAAATATATTGATCTTTCATTTAACTCTAATTGGGCGGATTACTCCTGCTCACCCCATATCGATTTTCGATTTATGTCCAGAATTTAGCCTCCCATGTACTTTTTGGAGGTTCACCGAATAAATGAGAAATCAATTGTACCTGGGATTTGCTGGTTTTTGAACTAGCTAGCTATGTACTTCCTATCCGGAAACTTATTGCTCTGCCCTCATATTTCTCGACAATGAAGGTATTGCCTCTTCAAGAGCTTTGATCAGGACAAACCGAATTATTGGCAAATTGCGAAAGTTAAAAGCTAGAAAGACAAGATACGCAAAGAGCAAACATGTGTATAACGCGCCTTAACAAGTGAGCGTAGATGTTCTGTCAGCGGACAAATAGTTTTTGAATGATCTGTTATCATTGCTAGAACGTGATATTTGCCCAACTACTGGTCATTGCAGACTTCTGCACGCCGCGATATTGGTAATTTTATCAGTATTAATATCCTGTCTGTGTCCCTTTTGCCTAATCCGCCTTCCGTTATGTGTCCAAGCTAACACCTGAGTTTTCCACTGGATTATCTTTGCTATTGCAATAACCAAGCGTCCGTTTTTATCACCACTTTTTCTCTAACCTGCGGTCGTTTGGACTCTATGCAACACAATTTCATGCATACCCATGTATCTTGTTTGATCCTGTGCTTGCCAGCATAACCATTCTCATTTAACATGGGGAAAATCGAAGTCTCTATGCGCCCTTTTGGACTGATAAAATGTGTTTAGACTTACTTTGCACAAATCTATATTGGCTGTTGCGGGAGCGATTTCCATTCATCTTCGGTTACCCATCTTAGCATTCTCACTTGGCCAATAAGCGAAATATTTTTGTCCCCTTGTCGGGGTCAGTGTATCCGAGCTCTTTATCCACCGGTGCTTTCTACACCATACTGACAATGAGATGCACGTGGTTACATGTTTATGATGATTCCACGGCACGTGCTAATCGTTTGGGTCAGTTGCTCGTCATCCTCACTAACTACCATTTGGCCAAAGGTTGAATCCCTCGCTTCTCCTTCCGCAGGAAATTCCCTAACTATTTTTACTAAACCGTCCGATCTCCGTTCGTTTTCCGGTATTTCGCTGTGCAGTGCTACGCAGTCGTTCTTGACAATGCACCTGGTCTTTTAACCACTAGACGTGAACGAAGTGATGCAGAACGGTGTGTTGCAGAAGAAATTTGCTAGCTTAAGGCTGAGTCTCTCCTCCATGATTTATGGCTGTCACGCTCATCTAACCATACTTCGGTGAATTATTAATATTAAGTTGATGTTACATTATTAAACCATCCATTCTCCTTGGTTATTTGCTCTATAATGCATTATCTGACAGATTCTCATGTTGCCTATCACGTCAACGACAAACCATACTGTGATTATCCCTTCTCTAGCACTGTTTCTCTCAGTTTCCTATACTCCTTCATCCTGTTCCTATGGGTGTTACTCAACATCGAATGTTGTATCTGTATGCACTGCGTCTTCATGTATCTTACGATTGTTACCATGTAACATGGACAAAGATCTTGTTCCCACTCGTATACTTTGCTCCCCTTTATTTGTCTTCTGCTCAACAAAGTACACGAAAGCGAAATCGATTTTGCCCATCAACTTTATCTGTGACTTTCTTGCTTTCCTAACTCTACTTCATTTCCGATGACGTACTTTCCTTTTCGGCCACATACAAGGAATTTGTATTTGGCCGATGAGTATCCACGAAGTGACATCATCATCCAAAAATCTTCGTCTTCAACTACTCTTATTCATTAGTGGCAGTTAATATTAATACCGTGTGCTAATATTTTAACAAATTTGGCTCGCTCTAAACTGCTGTGTGGTCACAATTTGTTTTCAAGCTATCCTTTTTCACACTTGACACTACGATTTTTAATCTGGATTTATTCGGACTTATCGGGACCGACCTCAATTCACTCACCTCAATTTGGTCCACTTCGGACTGCACTCATATCACCGTCTGCGCCCTCCTTTGTTTTAGGATGGTGGCAACCGTTTGTGTGCTGTCGATGATGGCCAGGAACACATTATTTCGGTGTGGGAATGGCAAACTGGTCGGAAAATAACTGATACGAAAGTGAGTTGCTTACATGTCGTCATTTTCAGGGCACACATTGTGCGTGCATGCTCAACTTATTCACTCACTGCTTCCGTTTACTTCTCATAGTCGCTTCGCTTAGGAATTCGTTGACACCACTCGTCAATCACGACTTGGACCTTTTTGTTGTTCCAGACAAATCTGGCTTAACAGGATGATGAATGGTTTCATCTGATGTAATTTATCAATGCATTGGGTTGTTGATCAGTAAATGAAAGTGTCACTTTGTCACTCACGGTATGCGCACTAAGTGGACATTCCGAATGAAATGATGGATTTCAGAGATGAGCCAATTGGCGCTGAGTGCTCGAGTGGGGCTTCCCATTCGAATGCATCTGTTTGCATCGATCCAATATCGAGGAGCGTCTTCCGCACATCTGCCAAGAGCGGCTCCATAAAAGCTGCGAACCACTGATTCGGCATCACTGGAGACGCGAGGCAGCCCTTGGATGAGTTAGTGTGCTGCTGCCATGTATGTGGATTTCTCGGAGACAACGTACATCGACTCCAATGAGGTGTGTTGCCTGTGAACCGATCCGATGTAGTGTGCGGACTTTAAAGGGCACTTTAGGGAATAGTACCTTGTTTGAAACTAGTTTGACTTCCTTACTAGTTTAACTCATTCACTCAAAAGCGACTTATCACTGGTAAACAGGAGAACAGGATTAGCGTAAAGGGAACGGAAGAGAATCGATAAATAATGGTGGTGTCTTTTAATTGCATCGATGTTCTTCATTTAACCACTCCGGAAAAGCACTTTTATTGGAGCGGACGCATCTAGAGCCTGAGTAACCAATTATAGCCCTTTACTTAACAAACCTATCTTCATGGCTGATATAGTCCGGCTGATAATAGTCCGACTGGAGAGTGTGACTGCCTAGTTCCATCGGAATCTGCCTGAGGCCGGCCACACAATTTTGTGGGATCTGTACCCAGTCGTGCATGTTTGTTTGCCCTCGAGACTTGCGGTTGTCGCCAACTACGTGATAATATTGTTGGGTTTTGTTCTATGTATAGAGGTTATCTCGTTTGGGTCAGGCGTTAGGGAACCAATACTCAACCGGGGTGCTCTTTCATTGTCAAAGATAACCTCTGGCTCCCCTGCTTTGCACTAATCGAGGTAATCTCGTAAGTCGCATTCTGTCGCTTCCCTAAGCTGTTTCTGGTGAACCGGAGCATCGGCTGCTCCCAAACACTGAGTTTAGGTGACTTTGAACCTTTAATTTTTCTTATATGAGTGATTCTGAAGTACATGAAAA